GCATACATTATATAGGAAACAAAGGGGAAAACCAAAAGAATAGTACTGAACAAAAGAACCAAAGATTTAAGAAAGGCAAGCTATTGATTTTTTTTTTTAACCAAAGAAGCAGGAGATACTATAGAAAGTATCTCTTATTCCAGAAAGAAAGTTTCTTCCTGGAGGGAAGGAGAATCTTCCCGATTAAACTCATGGACTTACTTTTAGATAGACCAAAGCATCAGCAATTCTCAAAGTAGTTGATTTGGCCAGTAGTAAGCCAATAAATAAAGTGGGTTACTTTAAAAGCAGAATATACGGAAGTACTAATTGGGCCCAAATGGGGGCAACAGGTTAGGAGAGAACAAAATGATTTCCCACTTAATGACCAACTTGTAGCTGGGACCAGGGGGATGGGGTGGATGGTCCTTGTCAGATCTATCACCAAGGGCAATTCTGACATGGGATTTTTTTTAATTTAATTAATTAATTAATTTTTTGCTTTTGGAAGAATTAGCTGTCGCAATAGCACATGATACACTTAGCAACCTAGATGGATTCTCAGGAATCAAGAGGTTGTGTATATGACAGTTTTGTGTTCAAGTGGACAACTAATGAATCTGTGTCAAGGATGTAGTGGGAGCGTGGATGCTTATTTGGGGATCCAAAGCCTTAAGATAGAGTAGCACTCTCGGGTATTTTGACTGTCCATTGTCTTGTAAAATTCACAACAGATAGCACCAATGGTGGACGGAAACACAAAGGCAGTGGATTCCGGTGGCCTTGTCCCCAGGCTCTAGGATCCCAGCTCTTGTACTTACTAGGTGGCCAAGAGAAGCTCATTTTCCCATCTGCCTCATAAACATTCCAGCTGTTATCTGTGCATTGTCATGAGGATAAAAGGAGATGACATGTGGATTTATGTTTTTGAAGAAGTTACACTTTACAATGATGCCTGATTAATTTTAGAATTGTATAGCTTCTTCATAAATGAGAACTCAAACAATAAATGAGAATAATGGAATCTTATAGCTGAAGTAGGCCTTAAAGACCACAGTCCTGCTTCACACACGGAGGCCCGCCCTGCTGGAAGCTTGCCCCACATAGCCAGCCGACCACAGTTGCTTAGAATTCCTCATCTGGACTCACTGTCCATTGTTCATCAGTTTATGAGCTTCTACAGCGCACAGGCTGGGGTGTTTTAAGTAAGTAGAAAATGGTCAGCAGAGAGACGCTCACCAGGGTGCCCAGGAAGCATTACCTGGTGATGATAATTGCAGGACCGTGGAGAGACCAGGCAGAGACTAGCTCCTGAAGCGCCCTAGTGAGAAAATGAGTCCCTTTCTCTCTCTCTCTCCCTCTCTCTTTCCTCCTCTCCCCCTCCCCCACCACAATGTGTGGTCTTTTTCCCTTTTGTCTTTGTTTTCCTGGTCCAAAAAGCATTTATGCAGTGAATCCAAGTTACTCTCCAGCCAAAATGTTGAGAACTCTGCTTTAAGGTTAAACCGCACGTAAGTTTGTGGTCTGATTATCAACCTATACAACAAACACATAAGCAACATGGTGTCACAGGAGACGGGGAGCAAATTCTATCCCTGTCTTATAGAGTACCAGAAGGACATGTTGGAACCTCAATGTTTATTCGTCGAGTTACTTGGCACGCTTCCTTCTGTGTTTCCTTTAACTAGGATCTGAACCTTCCACCTATTCCCTGAAGACTTAACTCATAGCATCCTAATCTTCAGCAAGTAAGCCACTCACGTTGGACTTCTGTACATTCAGCTTTCAAGCAATGATGTGCCAGGGGGATCTCAGTCAACCCAAGCAACATCTACATCCCTTTCTGTCTGCAGGAGGGACACATGATTTCAGATGTAGACCATCTCCCTCTAAAATACTTGCTTAGCACATTGTGTGTCAGACGGCTGCAGAGTATTTGTTTACACTGGGTGAAGATGTGTCACTGTGGTCGGTTTAAGAAAGAGCTGGATGTCCAATAGCAGCAGGAGAGACTAGGTGGGACTTCTAGGCAAGGAGAGGAAGTGACAGGGATGAATCTGGGTGCTTGGGATTTGCCAGCGAGGCGCAGAGCAAAAAGGATGTGCAGTACAGAGATGAGGTAATGAGCCATATGGCGAAATATAGATTAAAAAATATGGGTTAATTAAGTTATAAGAGCTAGTTGGAAACAAGCCTAAGCTAAAAGCCAAGCTTTCATAATTGATAATAAGTCTTCACGCCATTATTTGCCAGCTGGCCGTCTGGACAAGAAAGTACTCTACATAAGACAGAAGAGAGAGAAATCAGGTCCCCAAATATGGCTCCATTCTCTCGTGGCAGCCTGGGTCAAACTCTTGGTTCGCCCCTGAGAGTCAGGACTTCCGTTCCCAGTGTGCAATGGAATGTACTGAGAGCTGGAGCCAGGTGCAGTCAATGGAAGAAATGGACAGGCCTCGGGCTTCTTAGTAGTCCTCACTCTGTGGCTTCATGACTGTATTTACACAAATACCTTCAGTTAAAACCATGTACGAGGCTGTTGGTGTAGCTTAGTTGGTAGAGTTTTTGCCTAAAATCAACCCCAACGCTACACGACCCAGGCAAGGTGGCCCACATCTGTAATCTTGACACTAAGGAGGTTGAAGTAGAAGAATCGGGAAGTTCTAGATTATCCTCAGCTACACAGAAAATTTGAGGCCAGGCAGGGATATATGAAAACCTATCTCAAAAATAAATGAACAAATAACCATGGAACCTAAAAGGGTTCCAGTCAGGCATCTTCTCAGACTCTCAGCCATTCACATCTGCCCCTCTCCCTGCTTCTCAGACATTATCAAAATGTGACCCTCTGCAATCTACAGAATCCCCCCTTGTTTCTCCAAATTTCACTTTCTTTTCCTGCTGGACTCTCAAAGGACAATGGGAAACAAGGTGACTGCCCTCTGGTTCTAAGTGCGAAGCTAATCGACTCCTCCCAGGGCAGTTCCTAACGGCATCCTGACCCTTGCTGAGACTGTTCAATATTGCAATGAAAAGTGCAAATTGTAGTTCAAATATGTCTTCACTCTAAGTGCACTGGGTCATTTACCTTAACAATGTGAATGTGCGCTCATTATCACGTTCAACGTGATTAGTGTATGGTCTAACATTTAAAAGTGCACTTCAGATAAAAGAAAGTATAAATGCATGATTGCTTCCTAATAAATTGAGCAACCTCTTAATGAACTGTGAGCAACCTACAGAGGAACTATTACATTCCAGTCACAGAAGTGCCAAGCCAGACAAATAGGGAGAGAGAGTATAGAGAAAGAAGGCATTCCCCACCTTTTGTGACATGCTAACTTGGTTGGAAAAATACTTAAGAGAATTCAAAGCAGCCAGGTAAATTTGTTAATTTAGCATCCAAACAGAGATGAGCTCTGTCATTTGGAAAACATCCAGCATGGCTTACCCAGCATGTCTATGTAGAGTTCCAAGAAGCCTGTGGACAAACATCCTCAAGGAAACATTTCACTGTCTTCTAGGTCAGACACCATCAATGTAGAGGGTAAGATGGTGTTGGTTGTTTGAGCAAAGGAAGTCCTTCCTTCCCATTCCCACCTCTCTATTCCCATCCTCTCTCTTTGGGGTTTACTCAATAAACATTGTATTGGAGTAAACAAAGGCACCACAAAGAAAGTAGTTCAGTGTCTTATTTACAAAACGTCTTACATCTGTCTCTGATTGCCTGGCTATATGATAAACTCAGGCAAATTGCAAATGTGAACCAGAGGAGTCTATATTTGACGACAGGGTCATCCAGTAAAAAACAAAACAAAACTAAGGAAAAAAATGTGCTGTGTAGGCACATCCAGAAATGTGTTGAGAACACACAAGAGTCATATAGATAAGAACAAGCCAAGAATCCTCACTAGAACATTGAAGCTCCCATCCTGGCCACACTCATGCTCTAGATGAGGCACATAAACAATGGTTTACTTGACATGGACCAGGAAGGAGAAGAAGAGCTCATCAAAGGGATGGAACTCGTGTTTGGACTTAAAGACGAGTACTAGGCCAAGATCAATTCAGAAGAAAGCAGAGCAGTGTCAGGTAGCCCCAGTAGAGAAAGAACACCTACTGGAGGTCTACTGAGGAAAGGAAGAGAACCTTGGTGGAAGTCCATGGGGTACCATGGTGACCCGAATAATGGGGAAGCCCAAACAGCAGCTTGAGGATTGGGACAAACCCCTACAGGAAGACAGTGGCTCCTGGTTATAGGCTAGGCTGCCACAAGGGATAGGTGCCTGCAGAGGGTCATGGGAAGGATGACTCAAATTGGGCAAATGTGTGTGGGTAACAGAAGAGATACTCAGGACTACATGATGTAAAGGCAGAAATGCTCCAGATCAGATTTCCAAAGACCAAGTGTCCACGTGGGTAGCAACCACATGTTCTTCTTAAAATGGGGCATTGCTCCTCTTACCCCTGCAACAGGGTCTAGGTTGTCTCCCCTTGAAACTGAATAGAAACGTGCGACCCTTGCAACAAACAGAATAAAAGAAGTGACTGCCTGAAGGCTCAGGTCACAGCAGGCAATGTGGCCGCACACCACTCCATCATACCCGCACATGTGTGCACGTGTCCCCAAAGAGGAGTTCTGCAGAGGGCACAGGAGGAGGGTATAGAGAGATGCCTCTGAAGCCTCCCATGCTGAGTCTTCCAGATGGGACTGCCTGTGTCACGATGCAGATACCAGACATCCCTTCTGTGTCCTGTCCTGACCAGAACAATCCAGAAGCAAAGAGAGGACATTTCCTGCCACTTGTTTAGCTAGGAGATAACTTGTTCCAAATAATTATGCCCACCCACGCCCCTTCAGCACATCCTGGTCCTTGGCATCCTCTATCCCAACATTCAGCAAACTGTTTTCCATAAAAGACCAGAGGATAAATATTTTAATCTTACACCTGCTCTCTTTGTGGTGTGAATGCAGCCATAGACAACACCGTGTTCCCCCCCCCCCCAAAAAAAAGGAGGCTGGCTGTGTTCTAGTAAATTTTTATTTACAAAAATTGGCAGTAGGCTGAATCTGGCCTTTGGACCTGGTTGGATGGCCCCTGTCCTAGATTTAGAAGTCTTTAGCAGTAGGTCTTGTGATGATACCTACACCAAGTTAATTCCCATGGCTGAATCAGAAAGACAGAGATGGAGTCTAGAGACCATGGCCAGGACTGAGTCACACAAGCCAGAACAAACCAAAGGTCTAGGGGGACATGTCCTCCCCATCTTGCATCCCATCATGGTAGACATGTCCTCAGAGCTCTCCTAAGCTGGAATCCTTCTCATGCTTCCTCCTGTTTCGCTCTGTCCCTAATCGCCTGTATTGACTCTGTTCACCACCGTAATCTTGAGGGTTTTCCGACCGGCTCAAAGCATAACTGATTTGTGAAAACCAGTCCCCTGTTACTAAGTGCTCGGAATTCATCTCAGAAACCACAAGGGTTCTCTTCACACATGATGCATGGAGCTCGAGGATGGGTAAGAATGCATCCCATAGTCCAATTCCTATTCCTTGAAACGCCACCATCCATGAGCCACAGAAAGCGACAAGGAGACCTGAGGACAATGGCGGGCGCCTTTGTTCCTGCCTCCTGAGAGCTGGTTGCCATTGGGTCCTTGATAGCTTGAAGTGCTGGTTTCACAGTGATGGTAAAGTAGGCAGTGTGGAGTTCACAAGTTCACATCACAGAACACACTGAGCAAGGAGCCTTAATGAGAGGCGGACGGACTGGGCGCCAGCCGGAAAGCTTGCCTCTCCTTCCTCCTGGTTTTAGAGGATTCTCTAATAAGGGAGAGATAAGTGGGGGAGAAAGGAAAGAGACTCAACTCGGTGGAACAGCGGGAGTCCCCCAGCGATCTTCTAAGCAGCTTCCCCAGAAGGCCCCCAGCCATTCCAGGGCCGGGAGACTTAATGAGCACAGCCCTCCCTGCCTGGGGGGCTGTTTTCCCTGGGGTCCCTGCCCTCGGAGATCAGCCGGCCACTCAGAGGCAGCAGAAAAGGGAGGGATTCTTGACAGCCTTGACCCAGCTGTTGCTGGATGAGATAAATATATCCACTTTGTCTTATGTAAGGGGGTCACCGAAATGTAGGTAGCTAAAGATGCTAACAGGATGAACCTGCATTTAGTTTCTAGAATAAATGGAGTGTGAGGACAGACTTTGGAATGATTTCTCCCCCCTTTCCTTTCTCCCTCCTCTCCCTCCCTTTCTTTTCTTTCTCTTGCCCCCTCCCTCTCTCTCCTTCACTTCTCCATCCCTTTCCTTTTCTCTTTCTCTTTTCTCCTCCCTCCTTCCCTCCCTCCTTCCCTCCCTTCCTCCCTCCCTCTCTTCCTCTCTTTCCTGAGACAGGGTCTCTGGCCCAAGCTGGCCTCAAACTCCTTTTGTAGCCGAGGATGACCTTGAGCTTCAGGTCTTTCGGCCTCCTCCCCCTGCTGAGTGCCGGGCTCCCAGGCATGCACCACCACACCCTATTTATGCAGCGCTGGGAATAGAATTTAGGGCTTCGTCCTCTCCAGCTGAGCTCCATCTCTAGCCCTGAATGCTTTCATTGCCTCAGTCCACAAAGAAATCACAAGAACAGGCGGGACCACCCCCAAAGGTGGACCAGAGCCTCTCACTCTCACCTAAGAATATGCGGGCATTGCAGCAGGAGAGAAATTGGTAAGCCCAAAACGCCAAAGGAGGAATGGTGTGGAGACTATTTGAATGAGGGAAAACTTCTTTCTTTCCCTCTTACTGTCCCCTAAATGGTGACAGATTCATAAGAAAGCCAGACAGTATTCACCATGAACTATCACCTCTTCTCGGAGGAACTGACACATTCTTTCAAGGAACACTTGATTGAAAAGTGGCTTGTGCCAGAGCTCGGGCTTTCCGGTGAAAATGTGTTCAGAAGAATTACTTTGACCTGTAAAAGGCAGGGGCTGGACCTCCGCTCTGTCAAAGCGCAGAAAGGCCGTCGACACAGGCAGAGAGCAAGCAGTTCTGACCCCGTGCTACATTTGAGCCAGGTGGGGAACAGGTGATCTGGGGAGGCTCACTGGTCTGCAGCCAGCCATGGCCTGCCTGGGACACCAGGACCAAGCCATAGCCTAGCGCTGTCCTCCTATGCGCAGAATGGGTCTAAGCAGTCAGCCAAGACTGCGGGTCCTGATGTGCAGAACCACTGAGGGAAACCGTACTCTGCAGCCATTGTTTCCCCAGCAATGGCACAACTATAAGAACAAGGGAGGAGGGGGAAGGGAAACGGGGTGACCTGGTGGCCGTGGTGGCTTTCTCCTTAAACATTCCTGGGTCTAGTAGGTACCATCACAGAGGAGCACTGCACTGCCTCACCTTGGAACAATTGCCTTTGTCAACACCTGGCAGAAAAGGGGAGAAAGCAATGGCCTCTCCCCGTCTCCCAGCTCCACTGGAGTAAACAGAGCATCGTTAGCCGCAGATTCCTCACAGTTTCTTTTCCTTTATTATAACACAAGGCTAGAAGCTCAAATCTTAATAATCATGAAGCCAACCTACCAATGTCCCGGCAGCATAGACAATATCACATCCCTGGACTGCTGTGGGTGAGCTAGCTGGGCTTTCTGGGGCTCCACTCTGGACCCTAATGAGAGCTGGGTGCTCCCAGCACTGCAGGCCAGAACCGACCTCTGCCGTCTCCGATAGCTTCAAAACAAAACAGGTGGTTTTCTTTATTGCTAGAAATGGAGGCTTAAATCAAAGGCCAAAGAATTCTTAGGAGTAGGAGGGGGGGAAAAAACCCAAGTACTTTAACAGACCCTGCAAATACGGACCTCAAATCCTGTTCTGAAATGGGAGATGTGGGGCTAGGAGAAGCACGAGTTCCCTGGGAAAGTCTGGTTTGCGCTTAAGCTGAGTTTCAGCATCTTATACCCTGTCATGTAAGCCCCAAACACTGTGGTGGTGTTTTCAGGGACTGACCTGTGGCATAGTGACTAGGAGAGAGAGACCTCATTGTGGGTGGCACCTTCCAAAACACCCAGTCCCTGGGAAGAGCTGTCGGTGCCCAGACACCTTCGTTTCTTCCTGAGCTCTCTCTGTGTCAGCGACTGTTGCTGCCTTCAGACTCCACTGGCGTCAGCCTCCAGCCTCTTCAGCCCTCCATGTGCACCCAACACCAGTGACAATCTCCTTGGCTGTGTCCAGAGAGCGGAGGAGAGGCTCTCAAGCGGGCAGGCCAGGGCCAAAGAAGGGAATAGATACTAGTGATCAAGATGGCCAGCAAGGCCTTCCCAGGAAAGGCTGTGGCTAGGGCACCAGGGAGGAAGTCCCGGCTATTTGAGAGTACCCATCATAGCAGCCTAGAGACGTGCCAGTTGTTGGCAGCACCTTGGCAAGGAAAGGGACTTAGATCTAGAAACCGGTGGGATAAAGAGCTTAAGGAGCCCTCAGGGAATGTCTTACCCACTTTACCCACCCTCAGTACAGATAAGAAGACAGAGAAGTTTATCTAGTTCCCTCAATTTGCCAATCATTCCTACTTATTTATAGACTGTATCGGGAGTTTCCCTGGCAAAACCCACTACTCCCTTCTCCAAATAAACGACTAGGATTTCTTACCCTATTTCTTCCCCAAACTGCTGTGTCTGTTGCCTGGAAGCCTGGTCAAAGCCACCCAAACCAGCACGGTGATTTCTAGAGCATGTGTGCTCACTCGACTGTGTGCGCTCACACACGGCGCATACACAATTGTGCTAGCTTTCCCCACACCACGCAGTTTACTTCAGACCCCCGCCCTGACTTAACAAGCTCTTCTGTTTTCAAGACGTTCAGAGATGGCCCTTGACAGTTTTTCTAGTTGCTGGGTTTGCCTATGATCTCTAAGAAGATTTATCCATTGCCTTATCTTTACAAAAGAGCATTTACTGAGCTCTTGCTGTAGATGACAGCCGTTGTTCCGGACATTGAGTTCACTGGGACAGACATGTTGTATTAGGCAAGGGTCTTTCTAGAAACAGAACCAGTGTCTCATAAGAAATAAACCAGGATTATTAGAGTGGCTTACACGATACGACTTAAAAAGTCCAACTGCAGTGGTCTGCACCCTGGAGAGACAGAACCCAGCAGCTGTTCAAATCCAAAAATCTAGGTTTCTCAACAGCCTCAAGTAGGTACTGAAGGCCTGAGAGACGCCTGGAGAGTCGGTGGTATGGAGTCCACATCGATGGCCAGAGAGGCTGGAGCTTGGAGTTGGGTTGGAGAGGTGGAGAGCAGCAGCAGTAACTGACACGGAGCTCAAAAGAACAAAGGCCTGTGGGTACACGCCGCTCTCCCCAGGGACGTGGTGTTTGGAAGATGCTACCCACGGTGAGGTCTTTCTCTCCTACTTACTCACTGCCCCATGCTTCAAACCTCTCTGGAAAGAAATACCCCCACAGACAGGCAAGGGCAATTTGGCCCGTCTGTGATATCTCTATATCCAGCCAAGGGGGCAATCAAGACAAACTATCTCACACGATATACACAGCCCAGCCCTTGAGGGACTCCCACAAGGGGTCTGCAGCGTCTCCAGCTTGATGTGAGTTAGTTAACACCCTCAGAATTTCAACCTCAAACAGAACGCATCGAAGAACTAAGCAGTCTGGTTTCATTAGTGCTCTATTGAATCTCCCTACTCTCTCCTTTTTCCCCTTTCATCAGAGAATTCTGTCTTCCTTCTCTAGCTCCCACAGGCGTGAGTGACACAGGAAGTCCCACCCCATGAGATGTATGTCCTCCTGTAAGCACTGGGGGATTCTGGTGCGGCTCTCTTTCCTGTTCGGCTCCTAGATACCAATGCAGAAGGTGACTCACTCAACTGAGGGTGGCCAAGGTAGAGGATTTGTTTTAGGAAGTTAAGTCTCCACTATACCAAGACACTATCATTTTGAAGACAGAGATTAAGTGAAGGGTCTCTCCAGGGAAAGAAAGAAAATCCAGGAAGTCGGCAGACTTGATATGTTAGAGTTGAAAACTGGTACACACGGGCCACCTCTTGGCATCTCTCCACTCCCATCCTCCTGGAGAATCGCAAGGTGACAGAAACAGAACTTCAATGTGGTGTCAAAACCAAATGACAGGAAGGCTGACTGCCATGGCCCCTTTTTAATACCTTGACACTGAGGGACAGCCACATCACCAAACCTTTCTACATTCATCCTCCTGGAATCCCCTTGAGTAGTGCGAACGCCCTTCAAAGATCCAAGGCCTGGTGTCAGTGTGTGATTCCTAGTGGCTTGGAGCCCCCGTAAGTCAGTTACAGCTGTCTGAGTTCTAGTAAACCAACCCAGTCACTGACTGGTGAGTTTTAACATTTTAATAAAAAGACAAAACTGGTCACATGAAACAAAGCAAGCCAAGCGATCTCTGCAGGCATGTCCCTCTCCAGGATGTGCCAAAAGTTTGCTTTAACAGGCAGTATTCATTTCAGAGTTTGAAATGGAAGCGAAGGCAGCTAGCTGTTCTTTGAATGCCCTGAATACGCTCCCCAGCTGGAAGAATTCCTGTGTGTGCGCGCGTGTAAAGGCAACCGTACCCAGCCAGGCACGGAAGCAGTGCCGAGATGTGCCTCATTCTTGCCAAACCTGGGGAGACTCCCTGCCCCTCCCTATGTTGAATCATCGTGCGCACATATAACAAAAGCAGCTGGGTGCCAAGACAAAGCCTTCTAAAGGGTGGGTGCTTGCCACCGGGGCACCTGAATACCCACCTGCTTCAGAAATGGACGTGACCCGCTTTGACTGTGTTTGTGACAAATTGACGAACAGAGGGGTCATTTTCTGCCTTGGTTTCTTTAAACTCTGTGTGTTTAAGAAGGATAAAATGCACATTAGGAACATGACAGAGCCCAGCCGCCACAATGTCCCAGCTCCTGCGATCCTATTCAGCTCTTCCTCTCTTCCCCTTCAGTGAGCTTTGCATAAAGCTAACCCAAACCCACATGGGTTTCTATAATATCCCAAAAGAATGACAGTGAGTGATGTGATGTAGGTGGAAACTGCCTGAAGAAACCTAAATTGTAACGGGGAAAAAAATTGACATTTTAGATTTTAAATGTTACACAGTTTTTATAAAGCTTCAGTCAATTTATTTTATTTATTCTAATGAAGAGCATTACAACTGCTTTACCGCACTGAGGCCGGCATCGATCACACCATTAATCACACCTTGTGAATAGCCACAAATCAAGTTCCAACAGCAAGCACTGAATCAGAAGCAATGAAGCATAAACTCCTTCACAATTTATGATCTCTCCAATTGCATCTTTTCAACCATTAAATTGCAAGATACCATAAATTTTTATCTTCTTCACTTCAGTCACATTATTGATTCTGCCGTGTGAAATATAGAAGTGCCGTAAATCTCGGCGATTGAATTAAATTTAAAGTCTCGACTTCAGAGAAGAAACCCCACACACTGCCATGGCTGTTAATTTACACTGAGGAACAAATGATAGAAACATTAAAATTTAAATGGACAACAGGGATTTCTAAAAGCCATAGTTACTGTCAATCCTAGTCCTTGTCAACCTTGAGGGCTTTTTTATTATTATTAATTCAAATTTTAAAATATGAGGGAAAAGAATTAATTTTTTTTTTTAAGTAGAAGATGAGTAGCTTATTCACAGGAATGGGCAATAGGAAGATTCCTCAATGGGACTGGCAGCCAACAGTTGATATTCAAAAGGCAGGACAATGACTGCATTGTCTTACCCCATCCTCATCCCGTGATAAGCCCAAATGAATCCATGTGCCCCATACCTCCAGCTTCAGTGATGAGCCCATGGAGGCGCCGACAGTCTCAGGCAAGTGTGCTCAGTCTGACTGCTGACCGGTTTGTGGCCATGTTGTTCCTCTGGCTGCCCCTGGATGCTGTCCTTGTAACTGCCCTGCTGAGGCCCCTGTGGCTTCCTGACTCCTGGCTGTGTTTGGCCAATGGGAGGCACTAGTGGAATAGCAAAGGACAGGGTTAGCAAGGGGTGGGGATACCCTGCTTCCATCCCACGGTCTGGCGGGGATTGTATCCTGACCTGACTTGTGTGTGTGGAGGCAGAGGGAGGACTCCTCCGGGGCCCAGGCTCTCACATCAATCCCATTTCCTGCCCCAGGCCAGGGATGTATGAGGGCTTCCCCCTGCCATCTCCCTCCAGGTGCCTCAGGTACTATTCAGCCTCAGTTCCTCTAACCCTGTCCACGGCGCCAAAAAGTATCTGTCTTCAAAGTGTCATGGGTTAGGATTCAGCTTCCTCCTGGAACCTCGCTGTCAAAGCACGGAGAAGATCTCAAGCACCCCAGAAAGCAGCAGACAGCAACCTAGGCTCGTAGTCAAAAGTGGTGCCTCATTCTCCAATGCTGAAAATCCTAAAGTAACCCCTGGCCAGATGAAGATCAAGAAATGCCCATTATGCTTTGGCAAACAGCGATCCCTGTTTGTCCCACACAGTGCCCAGGAGGGGAACAAACTGGGTCATGTAAACTACCAGGCAAGCAGAGCTCTTTTACTACAGAAAATGAGAGGAGGATACTGAGCAAAGGCTGGGTGGCCACACACCCTTCCGACTCAGAGAGGGGCCATCCATGGCTGGCTTGGGGCTCAGGCTGGCTGGGTTCAACACATGGCAGTAGATCACCTGAACATTCTCCCCGGAGCTGAAACAATTCTGAGGGGTGTGAATCACCATCTCAGGCTTGCGGCCCTATCTACTTACTGAGCTGTGTGGATATTTCCCCTCCTAGTTCCTGTTAGGGAAAGTGAGGCTGTTAAGAAAGTCACTGCCAGATAGCAGTGGTTCAAGACACTGTTATAACAGCTGCCCCGTGACCTGCCTCCTCTCCAGCTGAGGACTCCTGGAATTAAGTATATGAACTTTCCAGCTTTATAATGACCCTGTGAGATAACAGCATTGTCTGTCTCCATTGGATGCTCTCTTAGAGGCCAGGATGTCCCTGAGAGCCAGCAAAGCCACGCTGGGACAAACTCCGGGCTTCGACCAACCCTATAGGATCTACCCAGGCAGGTCCCGGCTGAACAAGATTTCTGAGGTCATTCTTGGCTCGGCTGAAATCCAAGTTAAAGTAAGAGAGCAAAGCTGGCCATAGTGGTGTTCACTTTCAATCCCAGCCCTCGGGAGGCAGAGGCAGGCAGATCTCTGTGAGTTCGAGGCCAGCCTGAGTGAGTCTCAGGAATAGCCAGTAGCCAGGGCTGTGTAGAGAGACCTTGTCTCAGAAAGAGAGAGAGAGGAGAGGTTGGGGGCAGAAAAAAGAAAGGAAGGAAGGAAGGAAGGAAGGAAGGAAGGAAGGAAGGAAGGAAGGAAGGAAGGAAGGAAGGAAGGAAGGAAGGAAGGAAGGAAGGAAAGAAGAAGGGCAACGGGACAGGATGTCCTGCTCCCATCATCCCCGCATTTAGGGAAGTAAAGAAGTGCATGAGTTAAGGCCAACCTGGGCTCCACAGGGAAACTCTGTCTCATTAAAAAAAAATGAAATGAGGCAAAAGAGAAGAGCAGGAGCCACTCGGTGTCAGCTCTCCCATGTGTTCCAGACTCGGAGGGATTCCCACCACAGATCCGTCTCCTCAGTCTATCCCAGCATTGTCAAAAGCCATGGGGCAGTTTTGGACACTCAGGGAAATAGCCAAGGCTCAGGAGAGGGGACGCTGATGACTTACGACCCTCCACAAAGCGTCCGCTCAGTGAAATAGGAGCATATGGCAGTGCCTTCCCCGCCAGACAGGTGCCCATCCTGGGGCAACCAAGGCCACCAGTTTATCCACTCACCATCTAAACACGCGTGTGTGCTTCCAGAGATACTCTCTTCACATGCAAACAGATGCACACGTGTGCCTGGATATGTGTGTTAACCATATACATCCTTCCTGTACACAAGTGGTAAGATTTGCACACTGAAGTGTACCCCGTTTTTTCACTTAGCTGCATGCCATGAAGCTTGAAGCGTGAAGGAGGTCTCTTGCTGCTCAGCTAGGTCGCACTATACTCACAGAAGGTGGACCATTGGTTCCACTGTTGGTGAATGTTTGATTGTTTCCAATCTCTTGTCATTATGAGCCATACCATGGTAAGATCATAACCGTGCCATTCTACAATTGCTATGTGGTCGTTTTAAAATGGATAGAACTTTTTTAAATTGTACCCTGTGTGTTGATAAATGGGTTTGAAACTTCCCTTGAACAACGAAAGCTCTGACAGCAGGAAATGCCCTCTCACGTGGCAGCAGCCAAGGGTGAATGTCCGTTGAGAGGACTCACGTGTAGTACTGCTCTCCCGCCTCCCATGAGCCCTTGCTAGGTCTCCCCGGCCACTGAAAAGTCATTCTGGCCTCAGACTGTGTTCCGGACTAAGCGAGCCAGTGAAGATGAAGCGCTTAGCCTGGAGACGCTTGCGACAAGGCATCCCCTTCCCATCTGGGGTCCCCTCGGCTATAATGACTTTGGGGTTCCTTCATCTCTTGAACCTTACTTGAGAGCAAACTCTATGAAAACACCAACATCACCCCAAAGAATGAATTGGTGACCAAAAAGAAGGGCTTTTTAAGAATTAGTAAAAACAGAAGGAAAGATGCCGTCCAGAAGCAGCCCACAACAAGCCTCATGCCTGTCCTGTGGGGCTTTCATACTTCCGCCCACGTCCCACGGGCTTCCATTCACTTCCCAGTCTAAAATGTCCCCTTTCGTCAGTCACATCAGCATTTCCCCAGGCTCTTCTGTGCCTACCTTTTTCCCTTATCTTTTAAATTGCCTTTTTCATTCCATTCACTAACTCCGCCGCTGCCAATTCTTTCATTCTCGATTTCAAACCAGGAGAAATCAGATTAATTTTTTATGTGTTCCTCAAATCCATAAATCTAATTTTAAATTCCAAAACAGCTCTAACATCTTTGAAATGTTAATAACCCTATAAAAATATTCACATTAGCCCAAATTATATGATTAATGTGGCATCTTCGCCATGAACATTTTAAATGACTTTAAACACATGACTTGTGGCAGTTACTGTGTGCCATGAGTTCTGTCTTAGAAAATGAGAGGCTGAATGATGTTACCTGATAAATGTAACTTCTAAATAATCTCCAAACACTTCCCACAGCTAGGCCCCATCTTGACTCATTCCGTAACCAATGGAATGCCACGACTGTTTGGGAACTTAACAGTGTACAAGTGTGAGCCAGCATGGGTTCTTTTTCTTTCTTTCTTTCTTTCTTTCTTTCTTTCTTTCTTTCTTTCTTTCTTTCTTTCTTTCTTCCTTCCTTCCTTCCTTCCTTCCTTCCTTCCTTCCTT